CACAATGACCTAATGTGGACCTCCTATCATCAACATTACCTACCCAATCAACATTTGTATATGCCTCTACCTTCATATGGTCATGTTTAGCAAACAATATTCCCTTTCCATGAGTTCCCTTAAGATATAGCATAGTACCCTTTGTGTCGTAGCCATGTGTCTCTGGGAGCATGCATGAACTGGCTTATTACACTGGCAACATATGAAATGTCTGGATGATTCATATGAAGATAGATAAGTTTCCCCAACAATCTCTAAAACACTCCCCTATCAACTAAAAGCTCGCCATCACCAACTGAGAGTTTATGATTCATATAAATGGGGGTGGAGGTAGGTTTAGCACCAAGTTTCCTAGTCTTAGTAAGAAAATCCAACACATATTTTAGCTGAGAAATGAAGACACCTTCTTTAGATCTAGCAACCTCAATGCCCAGAAAATACCGCAACTCCCCTAAGTCTTTGATCTCAAATTCAGAATTAAGGAACTTTTTAAAATCATTGACTTCTTGAATATCATTGCTAGTAACAACAATATCATCCACATAAACAATAAGAAATGTGACCAAAGTGTTTCTCCTCTTAACAAATATGGTATGATCTGATTAAATCTAAGTGTATCCAAACTGAATAGGAACAGCCCTAAACTTGTCAAATCAAGCACGTGGAGATTGTTTCAAACCATAAAGTGATTTCTTCACTTTGCACACCTTGCACTACATCTCCTTACCATACATACCAGGGGGGAGAGACATATATACTTCTTCAGTGAGGTCACCATTCAAGAATTCATTCTTAACACAAACTGATAAAGGGGCCAATCATTGCTTATTGCCAAAGATAAAAGAACCCTCCTAGAAATCATTTTAGCAACTGGAGAAAAAGTCTCAGTGTAATCTATCCCATGCACCTGGGTATATCCCTTTGCAACTAGACGTGCCTTATATCTTTCAATAGACCCATCAACATGATACTTGATAGTGTAAACCCACTTACACCTTCCCTCCCAGTTAGCAAGTCAACAATGTTCCAGGTATCACTTTTATAGAGTGCTTCTATTTCATTCCTCATAACATCCCTCTATTCTGGGTTGAGAGGAAATGGAGGCTAGAAAGAAATAGTAGGATGGAGACAACAGGTTGTAAGAAAGATGTTTGGAAATATAATGAGCTGTACATTTCCACTTACCTTTTCTCACAACAATGGAAAGGTCAAGGTCTAGAGCTGATGGTAGAGATGTCGGACCTGTCCTCTCTTCAGTGATTGGAAGTGCCTATGACTCAACTGGAGATGTAGGAACAACTTATGTCTACCTTAGTCTTTGTTGCTGGTACCACCTCTAGAGAATAGGATGAGTGGTAGAAATAGGAGGGCTAGTAGGAGGAGGAACAAGAAGAGGACATAGCAAGTGCAACCAAAGGCACACGGAGGAATGGAGAAGATGTCAACACCGGGAAACAAGACACCAAAAAGAGACTTTAACCCCAAGACTCAGGAAGGCATATGGTCAATAAGATAAGTGGCTGTTAAAATTGCATCCCCCCAAAATTTCATAGGAACATGGGTAGCAAAAAGAATACTCCTTGTAACTTCCACAATGTCTATTTTTCCTCTCCGCTACTCTATTTTGTTGTGGGGTATGAACACAAATTCTGATGAACAAGCCCAAAATTTTCAAGATAGGAGGTAAGGTCCTTATCAAAATATTCCTTAACATTGTCTAATTGGAATATTTTGATGCGGGTATCAAATTAAGTGAAGATATATTCGTGGAATTGTTGCACAAGTTTAGGCACTTCAGCACGAGAGCGCATAAGGTAGATCTAGGTATATCGTGAAAAATCATCAATAAACAAAATGAAATATTTATAGCCATCCATACAAGGTGAATGAAAGACCCTCACACATCAAAGTGAACAATATTAAAAGTAATAGTCGCTCTTTTATTGCTTGCAAGATGAGTTTTCTTACAATGTTTTGAAAACTCACAAGACTCACAATGTAGACTCAATGGACTTATTCCTTTAAATAATTTTGGAAACAATTGACTCAATAGAGAAAAAGATAAATGTCCCAAACGATAATGACATAACATAACACAAATAGTGGACTCTAAAACTAAAGCAGTCTTCTGAGGTTGTACTTGGCTTTGCTTAGGAATGTCTAATAGATATATCCCATTCACCTCATGGCCATTCCCAATCACCTTTTGAATTCCATGTCCTGAAAAACACAATATGAAGGATAAAAGGTGACATTGCAATTCAGGGATTTAGTTAAATTACTAACTGAAAGAAAATTGGAATTAAGTTTAGGCACATGAAGAACAGGTGATAAGGTAAGGGCATATGATGTTTTGATGTCTCCCTTTCCTGTGATAGGGGCAAGAGAGCCATTAGGAAGGGGTATTTTGTCTCTACTAGAAAGGAGCTAGTAAGAGGTGAACAAGTGTGAAAAACTAGTAATGTGGTCAGAGGCACCAAAATCAATTATCCAAGGGATTTTATGAGTACATGAGATAGAAGCATGATTTGTAGTGGCACTAATACCTGAGTGTGCATATGTAAAGGAAGGAACTGTCTCTAATGAAATAGATGTTGTAGACTCCAAATGACCAATTATTCAGCCATACTTCTCACCATTCTGCCCCTATTCACTCTATGAGGAGGTGGCTACATTTGCATTTCCACCTTTTCTATTCTCAATCCTTTTTCCATTGTTTTCTTTCTTGAGTCTAGTAGGTATAAGCTCTAGGTGCAGCTTCCAACAGGCGTCTTTAGTATGTTTAGGTTTCTTGCAGTACTCACATATAACATCTTTCTTCCCGGTGTTGACCTTCGGCTTCATCCCAGCATTAGCATAGTGATCAACCTATGGCTCTACAAATTGAACCTGTCTTTTGCTCTCCTTACTACTCACCATAGAATAAGCCTGGGACAAAATCACCTCATCCTTTGCCAAAACATTCTGCCTCACAATATCATATTCCGGATTGAGTCTGGTGAGCAACTCAAAGACACGGTTTCCCTCCAACTTCCTATGTGTTTCTGCATCCTTTGTACAACCCCAAACAAATCAATCTCCTGCCAAAGAGATTTCAGCATGGAGAAGTAGACGGCATGACACTAACCCACACTTCCTTTGTAGTTTCCATCCACAAGTAGTGTTGACTAATATGTGGCTGCATAGAGTTCATTAACCAACCACTATTGTGTAGTTTTCGTGCATCCACCTTTCATAGGTAGGGTCATCCTCCTTCGATTTCTTCTTGCTTCCGGTAATGTACCCCCATTTCCCTCTACTACACACATGTATTTTAATTGGCTAAGACTATGCTAAATAATTGGTTCCATCCAACTTTACAGTGGTTAATGCCCCTAATAGAGTCTCCACAGGCCCCCCATGTCCAAACCTAGAATCTGTGGGATATTTGGCTTCTCCTCCAGTTTGCTTCATTGAGTGAACAGATGCAAATGAAAATTAAATTAAGGTTTTACTAGGCTAGATTTGCTCTTTCAAGTAAAGATTGCTCTTCAATCACTAGAAACTAGGGTTTCATAGGACTCGACAGGACGGGAGAAGAAGAGAAAGTTCAATTGCTCCTACCAGAGGTTTCAGAGCTCTATCCAACACAAACCGCCCTTAATAGAAATCAAAGAGCTTCCCTTTGATCCCCAAGCACTAGCTTCAAAGTGTCTCTAGGACCTGTAACAAGATTTCTCTAGTTATCTAGGTTTTTTGGAAAAAAAAACTCCAAGAACCTGCCTTTGGCTTCAACTAAGGATGAAAGTCTCCACAAAACCTCTCGAAAAACCCTCCTAACTAGGTTACATAAGCTGCTAATTGATCAGCCGATCAGTTCTCCATAACATTGTGTATGGGTTATGAAAGGAGAAAGATGTTGAAGGTGAGAACCCACTTTGCTACTAAGTTGTGAAACACACCTGCAACAATCTGAATAAAGAAAAGAAAAACAGAAGAGAAGAAGAAGATTGAAGAAGATGGGAGTGAGAAAAGTAGAGGAAGAAGATAGAAGAAAGGGAAGAAGAAAAAGAGAGAGAGTTCTAAACCTCTCTTCAGCCCCCAATGATCTTTTTTATTCTTTTGTTGTAAAAAATAAAGACAATTACATGAGTGCCCTTAGTAGGGCATCCATCACTAAAGACAACAATAAAAAACAGTAAAAAAAAGAAAAAACAGGACCATAACTAAGGCCCACTACCTACTAACACAAGTTATAAACATAAAGAAAAATAAAGAAACTAAGGCCCATTCGGCCCATTCTCACTACATGGACCATCTATAAATTTATTTACCTAATCTAAGGACTCCTGAACACTCTTGAAGTCTCAATGTCATGCCCATAGAAACTAAAGAACAAACTAAACTCCTATTTTTTTTTCTGAATTTAGACTATTTTAATTATTGCAACTGAATTCTTAAAAACCAAATTATTTACAACACTAAAATCTACCAAAATAACTTTTAAAACCAATTGAACTCTAATTGAAAATAAATCAAAACTAAAGAATTTAACCATAGACTATATGTTTTTCATACTTGTTCAAATCATATTTAAATCACATAATGTTGGACTTGATATATCTTTCCAAATGACACAAGAATCAAGACAAACCTAAAAGATTGACATGTCAAATTTATGCTGCAAGTAGTGTGACAGACTTGAGACATTTGTCTCATAGCTTTCAGTTGAGTTCCAAGTAACGGATGCTTATACTAGTTGCTTTATTATCAACATCAGTTGGTGCTGATATTCTAAATTGTTATTGGACCTTATGTGATTTATATCCTCTATTGTTCTTCAATCCTTCAGATTGTTTTTGTTTATTTCAGTCACAAAAATGTAAAAAAGAAAAAAAAAATGCTTGTCATTTAGTTTCTTTTCCCCCTACCTTAGATAAAGTTGCTTGTCCTTGAGTGAATGTTTGCCTGGGCATGCTAAAATAGTTCTTAATATTGCTGCCATTTATTGTTTTCTTCAGAATGTTCTTCAAAAAGAAAGAGAAAGAAAGGAACACTCAAAAACCGCCAATATGAAGCTGTTGCATGAATGTGGCATTCTACGCAGTCGGCTTCAAGAATGCAGTGTGAATTTTCTTGCAGAAGAGGAAGATAAATTCACTGTGGATGCTTCTTCACTATCAGATGCTTTAGATCTCTTGTCAACATCTGATAATCGGATAGGCCTCCTTCTTGCTGAGGTATCTCCACACTGTATTTCAATTCTATGTTCCGTTTATTATTTTTCTTGCAGCTGAATGCTACATTTTAACACCAACCCACTTGGTATTATAAGAGTTCTGTCTCTCTCTCTCTCAAATGATAATGTTTTTAACTTTTTTTTATCTTGTTATGCTGTTCATTTCTTTATTTTCTAATCTTTATCTCAGACATTCAAAACTGGATTATTTACCAGGCCTTGATATTTATTTATTTATCAAGTGGAAGTCACAGTTCCCATGATGCACCCAGGTCCTATCCTGTTCTACGCCTCTACCTGGATTACACGGTGTCCCTTTACTTTCTTCATAACATTCTTCTCAACCCTGGCTGTTGGGAATTATTGAAACCAATAAGTAATTTTTATGCTACTTCCTTTTAAATCTCACAGGACGATCATGTGTCAGAAGGGGAAAAAAAGAGCCAAAACATTCCACATAAAGGTGGCATCATGTCTAGAGTGTTTTTTTTTGAGAAAATTTAACCAGAATTTATTAAGAAAAAAAAGGGGGGGGGGATCAAGAGGAGATATACAAAGCAGGGGGGGAACCCCTACAAGTTACAAAGGAGGAAGCTCATCGCTATACAAATACACACCAAATTTAGCTAGGCCATCTGCAGTATGATTGTGATCCCTAGGAATCCAAACTAAGTTAACATGCAAACCATCCAAAGAATCCCAAGCTTCAGTCAGATAGTGATACAGTCTCCAAGGGCCCCCTTTTTTGTCTCTTAACCACTTTATCTTATTTGCTGAATCACCTGCAATGGTCACATTCTGAATTACCAAATTCTTTATTATCCTGATTCCGGTGAGAGCAGCCATCACTTCAGCCTTTGTGGAGTCAGCCCAACCGATTGGACCACTAAAAGTCCAGCAGATATTGCCCCTTTCGTCCCTTATGTACTACCAATACCTGCAAGGCCCGGATTACGTAAGGCACAACCATCAAAATTAAGGGTTATCACACCTTCACTGATGGATACGGGATGCCTCAAGGATGTTTGCTGGGGATGAGGTAGAAACAGAAAGGGGTGAATATCTCTGATAAGATCATTAACTGAAAGTCCTTTAAACAGAGCTGAATTCACCGACCAAAGGATGCAAAGATAGGTAATATCTGAGATTAACTCCTCCAAAGTTCTGCTTTTATTGTCGAAGATATGGTTGTTTCTTTTATCCCAAACACCCCACATCATTGCATGTGGCACTCATCTAGAGTGTATTTTTATGGTGTTGCTGATAGGTTGCTTTTGTGGTCAACTCATGTTTGACTTCCTATTCTACTTGTTTGTGGGTGCGAAGTTCATGTTGGCATGTTTTTCGTTGTTCATGTGTTTTAGGGTTGTTTAATGAGCCTCTCGTGGCTGGTATTGATGGGTTTCTTGGATCTATCCTTGTAAATTGTAATCTTTGTGAGTCTCCATGTATTATGGGGCTCTTTGATTGAGTGCTGGTAATTGAGGTTTTTCATCTCTAATTCAACCCCCGGCTCACTCTTATAAATTAAGTTTATGGTGGTTTAATCCATGGTATGGTTTCACATTTATATGCTTTGTTCTTGACCATAAATATATTCTTACATTGAACTTGTTTCTATGCCATTCCAATAATCATCAGGCACAACTTCTAGCACAAGATGATGAAAATTCAGTTTCAGCTTCCATCAAAAGCCACAATATAAATGGTGATGATTCATGGAGAACAACCCAGGATGAATTGAGGAAGATGATGACAGATATCTTCATCGACAATGCCAGATTGAGGAAACAGGTCAACTCTGTAATTCGTTGTGCTCTCAAAACAGCTGTTCCTTTAGAGAATGATGAGGATGAGGAAGTCCCTTTAAGAAAGACCGTACTAAACAAGTTCTTAGAAAGGTAAAAATGGGGCCACACTGTAAATTTCTTTTACTTTTAGAAACATGATGGCTGCCCCTCCATCTTACCACCCATGCCCCCCATATAGCCCATACGAAAATCAGCTGCTTTACTCAGCGGTGGATGCCAATGCCATTGAAGGCTGGAGAATTAGTCTTTGTAATTCATGTGGTTTCTTAGGTATCGGCCTCAAGACTCACTGCTTCAGAAGCATTGTGTAATATCTTCTTCCACCCTGTTTTTTGCTGAGCCTTTTTGCGCCATTTTGTTTGTGAAATTAAATAATGAAAAGAAAGGAAGAGAGCAACTCACGGAGGTTCGCCAGGATTGTGCAATTTGGTTCCACAAATGTCATCTGCTGTAAGACGTTCCACTTTGCCACTTTGGTTTCAAAGTTTTCATATTTGATGGCTATAGCCATATGGATGACCCGAGAAGGAAAGGTGAATGTATGTACATGTAAACCGGAAAACATGCATGAATAAGCATAAAAGCACAGGACTTGAACTAGGGAAAGGTCAGAGGCAGCCTGGATAAGCATAGAAACACAAAACTCGCTGCCTTTTCGCTCCCATTAACAAGGTTAGCAAAATAAAAAAGATAAAACAAACCCAACTAGTGCTATAAGCAAATTGGATTGAATTGGATATGCCTGGTGGATTGATTCAAGCTTGATTAGTTACTATACGGATTCAAGTCGTATTTGAATATTGAATGCCATTAAACCTTAAAATAGTTAAACTTTTTCTTTTCTGCTACACAATCTGGGGTAGCCCTTCCCCCCATCCGCTTAAGTCATAACCCTCCAACGCTGGTGGCGGCCGGATGTTAAAATGTTATTTTTAATAAAATGAAGTAAAATTAAATTTGACCTTTATATGTTATAAATAAAATGAATTGAAAATAATTTCTGAGACTTAAAAATTATGATTATTAATAAATATACAACATTCAAACTAAATGCATGCAATATAAATTTTATGTATTTAAATATAGTTGAATTAGATTATCTTGAATCCAATCAAGGTTCAAAATATCGATATGCCCGATATGCTGGTAGGGGTGTATTGGGCGATATCAATACTGTTTTCTTTTTTTACTTTTTTTTTTTTTCAAAACCTATTCAGGGGGCTGGTTTAAGGCTCCTCCACCCCCTGAACCAGTCAGAACCCTGATACACCCACTGGGAAGTCCTGGAATGATACATATCAGCCTATACGGGCCGATACGTGTTGATACTTTGAACCTTGGATCCGATGATTAAAATATTGATATGATAAGGTCCATATTGTATTTATCAATGTGTTCATGTGTTTGGATACACTGGTACAAAAGCTTTTAATATTTTTAAAATAAGCAATGGGACCATCTAATAATAATAATAATAATAATAATAAGTTTTAAGGGATTCTCTTTATGGCATATGTTTTGAGATCATAGAAGATTCACTGAATCTTAGAAAATATTTTTTGGAGGTTCACTGAAGTCCGAGGAGATGAATGGGAAATATATCAAAAGACTAAGAACTTTGAGAAGTTTATAAATGCTAAAAAGATGGAGCACAACTCTTGGTAGGGGTGGCTTCAAGCTGAATGGAAGATTTGGTTATTCAAGCTAAGCTAGTAGAAAAATATCATACTCAAATTTGGGTTCAAGCTAGATTCAAGTTAGAGACATGAGCTCAAATTCAGTTTGGCTTAAAAGCTTGTATATTCAAGTTGGGCACGATTCAAGCTTGATAGTGACCCAAACGTAATATAAGAAATAAAGGATAAAAGTTTATACATGTAAAAATTAATACATATAAAAAATTAAAAATTATATACATATAAACTATCCATATAAAAATCATTTCAAATGGGCTGGTTTCGATAGAAAGATTGCCATCGACATTGTTTGGTCGGTTTAGGAGCCAAATACATTGAAAAACACCCCTTCTTTCATTATTATGGTTGCTATGTTGAGCGGCCATTTGTAACTTTTAAACAGGTAAAGAAGATAATGAAAATGAGTTGGATTTTGGATATTCTGACTCGAATTTGGTATTGAACCCTTAAAAAGAGCCTTCATTTTGATCCCCCTCTGGTCTAGAGAGTTTCCTCAACTCAGTAAACCCTAGCTTGGTTATGATTTAATGTAAAGTTAGAGGGGACTTGTGCAATGCATGGGCTTTGTAAAGTTGAACTTAAACAATAGAAACACATAAGAGTAAACAATTTTTTTATATTTGAATTTTTTAAATAATTAATAATTATTTATGTTTTATACACTATTTTTAATATTTTACAATACAAAAATAACAATAATTAATTTAAACTAAATTAATAATCTAATCTCTAATAAATAACAATAGCGAAAATACACAATTATTGAAAATAAAATTATAACAAAAATATCATAAATAACTAATAAAAATACAATAAATACTGAAAATACATTGAATTAGTCAATAAATAGTGTAATCTCTAATAATAGTTTAACCTCTAATAAATAGTAATCAATAAATTATAATAAAACTACATAATTACTGAAAATAAACTTATAACAAAAAATGCAATAAATCCAATAAGTACAATAGATTAAATTTAAAAAGTTAAATAGCAATAGTTTAATCTTCAACAATTATTGAAAATTTATTGTTAAATAATAAAACGAAATAGATTTATACATAACTATTGAATTAGTCAACTTTGTTATTTAATTTATATTTTATTTTTAAATAATATTTATAATATGATTTAGTTATTAATTTTTATGACATTTAAAATATTTAAAAGTTAGTCATTTACAATATTATATAGTTATTTAAATAATATCATTATTCAAAATTTCAAAATATAAAAATTTATTGAATTTAATAAACCATAAAATTATAATTTATACAATTATTACATATATTTGTTATTAAATTTGTAAAATATAAAATCATAATTAATTCAAATATTATGAAATCTATTATAATTATTTTTTTACTTTTAAGAAATTATTAAATTCATTACATAATTGTGTTATTTTATCTATTTAAAATTTAGTTATGTTAAACATTTCTTATTTAAAATATTTAGTTATTTAAATATGTAAATAATATTTAAAATATTTAAATTTTTTGTCATTTTAATTTTGTTTATTTTATAGTAATTACGTAATATTCAATATATTGTTACATATTTATTTATCTAATTTTAATATTTTGTTATTTAAAATATTTAAATAATATTTTGATTTTTAACATTTTTATTGTTTAAAAACATTTAAATAATTTCGTTATTTAAATTTTTAAATATTATTTAGATGTTAAGTTTAATAAGCCATAAAATTATAATTTATATTTTTATTACATAATTTTGTTATGAATTTCATAAAAATATAAAATTGTTAATAATATGAATACTATTAAATCTATTATAATTATTTTTTTATTTTAATAAATAGTTTAAAGCTATTACGTAATTTTATTATAATATTTAAATAATTTTTAGATTTTATAATTCAAACCTTCTTTAGAGAGACATAGATTAAAAGTGCGAGAGAAGATAAATTGGAATTAGAGATAATTTAGGAGAGAGTTTATCCCCTAAAATAGAAATTAGAGATGATTAGAGATATTTTAGGAGAAAGTGGGGGATAGAGGTGTCACATGGTTAGACATCATAAAAGCAAAGATTTATTTCTTTTATCTATAGGTTGTTTGTAAAAATGACATGAAATAAAATAAAATTAGAAAAATAAAAAAAGAGAAAAAAATAAATTATTGAAAATTATTAAAGAAATTACTATAATGATTGGAAAATTTATAAATTAATTATTATTGTTATTATTGAAAATTTATTAATATTACTGAAAATTATGATAAATTACTGAAATTTTTGTGGAAATATAATTGAAAATGATCACATATTACTATTTTTGGTAATATACTAAAATTTGTTTGTAATTATGTTTGAAAGTATGAAAAAATTATTTTATTGTTAAATGTAACAGTTTTTTACAATTAATAAAATAATTACTTATTTTACTATTAATAAATTATCAATAATAATATTACCATTAATAAATTAATATCAATAATTATCATTAGTTAGTTATCAAAAATTAGAAAATTGTTGTAATTAATTATTAGATTACCATTAAGAACAATGCTATTTTTCAATCCTTACATGCTAATCTGAAAGTGATTACCATCAAATTCAAACTAAGCCTAATTGAATTCGAGCCTGAATAAATCCCAGGTCAATTACAACCATTAATTGTAAATGAGATTGGTGTGAGGAGTCCATATCTGCTCCTCACACCAATCTCACAGTATGTTCCAGCCACACATTGGGAAAATCTCCTATACTTGCATTGCATGTTATTATTCAAGGGAGATGTTCCCAATATGCGGTGGGATGTGGCCATGAGGTTGTTGTGAGGAGCAGATCCCAATTTTGGTGCGAAACGCACTATGGGGAGGAGTAAATGTAGGTGTGAGGTGTGCTTTGTGAGGAGGGCATCTGATTTCTGCTGAATGAACAACAACATTTGAGTCCTATATTATTATTGAAAGTTCAAAATTGATTGATAAAATCTGATGCCATTTTGGCTTCGATCAGTGCAAAGCCCGTTAGAACAACCTTTACAGCCTTGCACTGAGAATATCTCCATAGTTATGTGCTTTATTTCATGGGGAGACATTCCCAATGTAAGGTTGCAATAGGATGTTCCAACGGTGTTGACCAAAGCCGAACTCTTTTTTCTCCATGGGCTACACCGTCGAGGTAACCCAAGATCACATTAGTTTCCCACAAGCGTTCTACATGCACATTTGAACATGCATTGGGAACATCTCTTGTACTTGTCATTGAGAGATGTTCCCAAAACAGGGTTTGGATTTGCAGCAAGGTGTGTTCTATGGGGCGCTGATGTGAATTCAAGTAACTTCCATGTGATCATCAATGTAAATGTTGACTTGAGCATTGTCAATGCTAAGCAAACTTCCATGTGGTTGGAACCAAGGATTAAAAATATCGATATGATATGTTTTGATGCGAGGCATATTGTATCGGCATCGATAGTGGACAATACTAGATACGCTACGATTGGAATTGTATCGTGCTACTCGTGGATATGATATGATGTCGTATCGATGCATATCACATTGTATTGACTGATATGGTTTGATACGCGCACAACTATATTATGAATGCGTTTATTGCGATTCAAACCCATGTTTAATTAATTAATTAAACAATAAGCGCCTATCGTTTTATAAGTGAAATAAAACTAATTTTATTATCTTTATTGTAAACATGTGGTCTAAAGAAATGCCATATTAAATATTAATATGTTTAACAATTTCAACTTAAAATTAAATAGAATCATATTAAAAATTAATATTTATAATTATAAATAAAATAAAAATTCTACCAATTTTATATTTATATCAAAAATTGATTTTCTACTCTCAATAAAATTATACAAATACAAATATTAATAATAGAACAATTATTTTAGTACTTAAAATTCATACATTTGTACATGTATATATATATATATATATATATTATTAATTGATATTTTAATTTACACTAGATAATAACATATTTATTATTTATAAAAATTAAAAATTTTGTTTAAAAAATATTCAAGCATACAATATTATATTGAATATATTAAATACACTAATTTAAATTTATATAAAAATGATTTCTTATTTTAGAAAATTTGTTGAAATAAAAATGTTAATAATGGAATGTTTATTTTAGTAATTAAAATATATGAATTTGTGTATGATATGTATTTTATAAATTTTAATATATAGATATGAAATACTTTATGTTAAGATTATATATATTTTATAAAATATCAATTGATATTTTAATTTACATTTTATAATAAAATTTATTATTTACAAAAAGAAATATATTGTTTATCAAACATTTCAAAATTTAACATTTAATCGACTTTTTTTCGTTAATGTCAAAAAGTAAAAATATTAAAATAAAAAATGATTGATATAGTAATTAAAATATAATAATTGCATATGTTTTGTTTATTGGACTTAAATAGAATATAATATAGTAATGGTTTTATGCATGTATTAATTTGTAAAATACATATATTTTATGCATGGATTATTAACAAAATTGTATGATATGTATGCATTCCATTATATTAATTGTAATATATTTCTTTATATATATCATTAAAATATACATTTCTTTGTATTTGTACCTTATTCGTGGTTATTTTGATATTAAAATTAGTATAATTGATATATTTATAGAATTTATATTTATTTTTTTAATATATATTTTCATATCTTTTATTACCCAGTACTTTAATCAGTTCCTTTGGAAGGACCCGACCCGATTGAAGAATTTTTTTCCGATCTTTGACACCTCTGCTTTCTATACCCGACCCGAGTGATGAGAGTGAACCCACCAATCACTCTACTGGGACCCCCTTACCCTTAGGGTGGATCTGAATTCTTCATAAATGAAACAGGTGGCGTGTTACACAATCACCACGTCCGTGGCCTACACAAAGATCATCCCTTAGATCATGGGATCCGCACATATGTAAAGACAGGGCCACAGTGACATGGCATCTTGCTATCCACCGAAAACTTACAAACAGGCAGTGAAGTACTGGACCGATTTCTGAGGTTGAGGATAACTCAACCAGAGAGTAGAGAAGAGTATGTTGTGTCGTTGTGATCACACGGGAGATGTTTATGGCTTTGCTTTCTTCTCCATCTCGTCTCCTTGCACTCTCTGCTAAAGTTTCTGCAAAGACCCATTTCACCCAGAAGCCTCATATATCCGCAATCTCCAAGAGAAACCAAAAGGCGTTGGAAAATGGAACAAGAGTGGTGGGTTCTGCTGCCGGCTCTGAGGAGAAGATGGAGAGAGAGGATGCCCCTGTTGGGTCCAACAGGACGGCCTTGTCGGTGATGGAAGCTCTGAGTAGGTTCCAAGGCCCCAAATGGGTTAGAGGGGCTTGGGATTCCAAGCAGTTTCCGAAAGTTGAGAAGACCAATTGTGGTGCTGTTATCGATGCAGGTAAGGCGCCATGATGGGCTCTTCTTTTAACTATCAGTGATTATTTCAGTTGATAAGATGCTCATTTGAGGCCTTTCTTATGATTTTATTTGCATGCAGTTTCTGTATGCTTCTTTTGATTTAGCATCAAATGCTTCTTTTGGACAACTTATTGGAATTGCATTTCATTTATAATTACAGAAGTTTATAATGTTTCCATGGAGGAAGAAGTCAGGTTTCTCCAGATTCCAGAACCAATGGAAATTTCATAATTTTTTGATGGATCAAATTATGATTAGTCTGAGCTCCTTGAAGATTAGTTTGCAATTTCCTGGTGTCAGAGATAAGCCTTTTAATTTAAAGATCCAAAACAGTTGAAAGAATTGTCTTAGAGAAACTTAGCATTTTTTAATTGATAAAAAAACATTTTTTTTGAATAGCAAAAGAAATGCTTTCATTAAATTAAATTTAGAGAAATTTAGCATTTTGGAAAGTTGAAATTGTACATTCACCACTTTCCTTGTAGCCTATTTTAGATGTCCAAACTTGCTGCTTGACTTGATTTTGGTGTCATTAGGCAGGTTTTCAATTACCCATCCAATGGGACCATCTGATGTAAATTGGGAATGTTATGCCATTTTATTGGCATAGTATCAATTCGTAATATAAGTTTAGGGAGTCTATTTTTAAAGTTTTTCTTGGTTTGTCTCATTTTAAATTCATTATTAGTGGGTAGCTTAGTTGTATTAGGAGCCAGACCCGTATTTAAGCATCTTGATGAGTTTATCTTAGTTTGAAAGAAACCTTAACTTGATTCCAATCAGTTTCCTAGTTAAAATTGGAGTCTGTAAAAGAAGGTTGGGGGTTTCTTCTCTCTCTCTCTCTCCCTCCTCTTACTTTTTAAGGTATGCTTTATTCTCTGTTTATAACTTCCCCTTTATTCTATTATGTGTTTGCATCTTTACCCATCATGTACACCCTAGTAGGACTTTCTCCTCCTGTCCATCATCATGTGGCCTTAGGCACTCCTTTCCTCTTGATTGGTTATAATTTCTCAAATCCCATTAGATGGGGAAAAGATTTTGGATGGCCCATGGAGATTGTTTTATGCTCTAAATGAAATTTTCTTCTCTGATGTTCTTGTCCTTAACATAGTTTTTATGGTGCCAAGGCAAGGCTAGGCGACAAGGGGGCGCCTAGGCGATGGATTTTTTTTTAAGTAATACCATATATCCTAGGGTAGTTCCCTAGGTTCCATAACCATCTTTCCTTAATAGTTATCCATAATTTTCATAAGAGAAGTATAAACTTCATGTTTTAAGTTTAGAAAACCAACATTTTATGAGAAGAAAGGAACAAAGGAAAGAAAATTCAAAAGATATAGGGACTGAACCCCTACTTTTGTTATAGGAAAAGAAGAAAAGAAAAGGTGGAAGAAGAAGAAGACCTGTAAGAAGAAAATGTGTTGATTAGACAATTTTAAGTTCTTCTCTTGCTTATTGGTTCAGGTTCTGAAATCATTGAGGATTCAATCAAGGATCAAAATTTCAATACGATACACCCTGTATCGGGTGTATTGTATTGTATCTTTGGCGCTCCGATGCACATGTTTACAAGTGTTTTTGGGAACCCATTTTTTAAAATAATATATATTTAAAAATGAAATTGAAAACCAAAGAAATAAAAAAATAGGGGGAGTATCGTTATAAGTACTGATACACCTTTGCCGATACACAGAGGTGTATGATACTTTGAACCATGGGTTCAATTAGCAATGTTTGTGTTGATTAAGCCCTAACAAATAAGAAAATAATAAAAAGAAATTAGTACATAAATACATAAAATGAGTATTCTAGTTTAATAATGCCTATTTTATAATTATAATGTCAAAAAATTAAAAATATAAAAGTATTTTATAACATAGTGCACAAAACTACTTGGTGACTGGGCGAGGCGAGCCTCCAAGGGCACCTTGTCGCCTAGGCGCCCACCTAGGTGTCACCTTGACAGCTATAGTCCTTAAGTCTTGACCTCTATGGGATGGAATGTTTAACAACTTCATGTTGTTCCTTTAGGAAAATAGAAAGTATTACACAAGAGCTGAAAATCACATTAATAGTGTAAGAAGGAATGCAGATGGGATGGCCGATACTCTAGCAAAACAAGGGGTATATTGGCAACAGTTGTTTTGGGTGCCGGTGTAACAGTTGTAACTTGTGGGGATTGGAACTGCTTCCTTTGTAATGACCAGATTTATCATCATTTTATAAAATTTTTAAATTTCTTTCTGATCAACAAAAAAATTCACATTGTTTCATGAAGCTTATATGGATAACTGCCTTTATAATTCTATGCTGGGTTCATATTCATTTATTTGATATCAATGCTGTCCATCATCTTTTAGGTAAATATTTTTCTAAAAGATAAAGAAAAGAAAAAACTTTCTCTTATGGAGGAGGGCTGGAGATGTAGCTGTTGTTACGATCATGTCATGAAGATATCTAGAGAGTATGACTGCTTTATTCATTGCAAAGGGATGGAGAACTGGTGTTGATTTCATCTGGGCTTGTGTTGATCATCTATGCCTTATCCTAACTATCTGGGGTTGGCTACATGAATCCTGCTTTGCCATCCCAACTATATGGACTGTTGACACTGCTACGGAGCCTAAAATTTGCTAAACAATCAAATTTTAAAAACTTGGAGGTTGAAGGGGATTCAAAGCTGGTTGTTTCTCAGACTACCACTAGGTGTAGTGTACCTTGGATCTACAGACATGCTCTATGGGAAATAGAAAGCCTGGAAAGGGATCTAAATGCCACTTTCGCTTGGACAAGGACTGCAGATGGGATGGCCGACACATTAGCTAAACAGGGGGTCTATAGGCAGCAGTTGTTCTGGGATTTATTGTATGCTTTTCAGGTTTCTGATTCTTGGGTGAATGGACACCCTTTCTTATGTAACCTAACCTGTCATATTTTAATTTCTTCTTGCTGACCAAAAAAAAAAAAAAAAGAAAAATCCCAACTATATGGACTCTTCTTCTCCAACAGTCATCATCATCTAAGCCATGTTCCAACTAATGGGGTTGGCTACATTAATCCTGTTTTGCCATTCCATTCTGTTAAATCCGATGTCCATTATTAAATTATGGGTGCTTAAATCATTTCTTATTACTTCCACCCAAGTCCTTTTCGATCTGCCCCTATCTTTTCTAGCCCCTTCAACTTGTAACAAATTGCATTTTCTAACAGGTGTAGTCGTGTAGATGGTCTCCTATGCACATGACCAAACCATCTCAATCTACTCCTTGGAAAATGGTTCTATCAAGCAATTTGAAAGCATGCTAAGGTGGGATGTAATGGAGTTAGAAATGTTTAGGGTGTATTGAGAGAGGGGAGGCAAGGAGTGCTAGAGGGGGGAGGGAGAGGGTGCAGAGGAAAAAGCTTTAGCTGTGGTGGGTTGCATGAAATTATTTGCATCCATGGATGCTAAAGAGAATGACATGTTAATGCAGAAGGTCATTTCCTAGATTTCTTTTGAAACAATATGAAAGAGTCCCCATATTGTGTTTCTTTGCTGATATAGATGCTGTTTATTTATTTATTAAATTGATTTTTGGGGCCTTCATTGCTTGTGCAATGAAGTAGAGAGATTCATGGATTACTGTGGCTGCCTAGCCTGCCCGTGCTTGCCAAAAGTTCGAAAGGAAGTGAAGATGGTGACCTGGAGAAAGGAAGCGAAGACTGAAGCCAAAACCTTCGGTTTCGAAAAAGGTAGATATGAGGGTAAGGAAAGGCTAAAGATTAAAGAAGAAAACAGAGCCACCGTTTTCATAATTGAGGAAGTGATTATATGGCTGTAGGTTTCATGGATGGGACGATTCTCTTTGTTAAAAAATTTGGCTAGAAGAGCGAAGTAACTGTAGCTAGGAGTTTTGAAGCTGAGATGAGAAGAAACATGAAGGGTTGTTTCATGGCGATTATGGAAAGTGGTGGTTATAATAGAAAATACTCTTATGTGTGCCAGAGGGTAGAGAGAGAGAGCAGGATGGAGAATGTTTACAGAAACCCTGCAGGAGTCTCTACTGAATGTTGATAGAAGGCAAAGCTCAAATTTTCGCGGGGGATCAGGAATCCATGATAAGCAGAGCTATAGAGATATCTCGAAGGGAGAAGGTCAAAGTTTGAAAGGACTTCAAGCCATAGTATGCAGTGACACTAGAAGTCGAAGATTGCTCTTAGATGCAGCAGAAGGAGAATGGGAGAATAATTTGATTCTGACTTCAGCCAAAGGAGTCCAAGATTGGGAGAATATCGTAGGGGCGATGGTGAAGAGATTTAACATAATGGTACTGTAAACGTTAGACCTTTTGAAGACTCAAAGGCTTTGCTATATGGAGCTGGTTAAGAAGTACTGTTCCCAAGCGCTGAGACGGTGGAAACACCAATTGGAAGGGTAATGGTAGAAAACTGGTTTGTGTCTTGTAATCAAAATAATATCTCAGAAAGTCTTCTCGAGCTTCAGTTAGTAGGGCTTCCCTTAAACTACTGGAATGAGAAAACTTTGGTAAAATTGATCCAAGTCATGGGTGGATTGTTGACAGCTTTTAATCTCCATGACCTCCATGCCGCAAAAGCAAAGGTCAAAGGTCTGAAACCTGAAGAAGTCCCCGGATGCTTAGAGTTTCTCATTAATGGTTGCTGGCTTAAGGTTTGGGTTCTGTTGGAAGGTGAAACGTTCTCTATGGAGGAAAGGTTCCAAGGAAGAAGATGTCAACATCCTTGAAGGTTGGGTTACACGTGGAAAAAAGAGATCGAGCCAAAAGTCATTGAACAATGCCCAGGCGTCGAATGAAGATGAAGAGACTCCATGCAGATCAGCCAGTAAGTCTCTGCATAAGAATGCCATTAGTTCAATTTTTTTGGAAAGTGGAGATTGAAGGGCAGGTGAAAAGTCTTATGCGGAGGTCATTAAGGGCGGAGCGACATCAACTAACCTTCTGGGTCCACAAGGCTTTT